TGGCAAGGAATCCTATAAATACCCCAGGAATTCATATCCGGAATGGGGTCCTTGAGTATGGAACTCGGAATTTTATTCATGGGAAAATAAACAACCCGAAAGTTAAATTTCTGCGAAATATGTGCAACTTTATAGCTAATTGATGGAAAGAAGGGAATGACAACAGAATTTTTATAATCTCCTAAAACAAGAGTGTGCCTTTTAGTGTGTTGAAATGAGAATTTTTGAACTGCTTGATTAATAATGTTGGGTGGAAAGCCCCTGTCAATAGCTATTGCTTTTAAATAATTTAGTTCTTCATCAAGGGCTAGTTTGAAGGAGCAAACTTGAAGAGCATGGAAAACATACGAATAAAATGAAGCTAACTTTTGTTTAGTCGGATGACATGATTTAAAGTGTGGTGGAAGGCAAACCGATGAAGGTTTACGGTAAACCGTAGTACTGAAGTTCGATGTGTTACGTGTGACCAGAATGTCGAGAAACGGAAGAGAATTGCAAGTCTCAAGTTCAAAAGTGAACTGAATAGCAGGATCAATAGAATTCATTGTTGAAAGAACATTATTTAAATCATCTTTATTACCTTCAAACAGAGTAAAAGTATCGTCTACGTAGCGGAACCATGCCGGGAAGTTTAAAGTTTCAAACAATTTTGATTCATAATAATGCATGTAGATATCAGCCAGGATGGGACTGAGGGGGCTTCCCATGGCTAATCCCTCAGTTTTTTTGTAATATTTATTTTGGAAAACAAAATGTGTTTTGTTTCAAACAGAGTTGAGTGAGAGAAATTAGCTCATCAATTTCGATGCAAGAGAAATGAAATTCGCGAAGTCTGGTTTCTAGACATCTTAATGCACCCTCCACTGGGACATTGGTGAATAATGATTTTACATCAAAAGAAACCATGAGTAAATTACTAGGAGAAATGTTTTTAAACTTTTTTTACAAACTCTATTGAATTTTTTATGGTGTAAATGTTATTGTCTAATAGAGTTGAAAATCTAGAAACTAAATATTTAGCTAATGGATACGAGGCAGTACCTAAATTTGATACAATAGGGCAGAAAGGAATACCACTTTTATGAATTTTGGGAAGAGCATATAATCTGGCACAATTCGCAACAGATGGGATAAGTGAATGTTTTAAGTTGCCTGAAATTATTTGCGAAGATTTGATCGCAGTTTTTATTTTTGACAAGTCCGAAGGTGAAGGATCTTTAGGGATCGGATTATATGGTCCTTCATTTAAGAGTTTAGTGACACCATCGATGTAAGTGTTCCTATCCATGACGACTATCTGGCCACCTTTGTCGGCCAGTGTTTGTTTATTTTCCCATGAATAAAATTCCGAGTTCCATACTCAAGGACCCCATTCCGGATATGAATTCCTGGGGTATTTATAGGATTCCTTGCCAGTGTGGTTTAATTTACATTGGCCAAACTAAGAGAGCCTTAAAATTTCGCGTCAAGGAACATGAGGCATATGTCAGAAAAAAGGAAACACAGAAGTCTTCTGTTGCTCAACATTGTTGGTCCGAAAACCACACTTTCAGTTTTTCTGCTGCCGAAATTATTCAAAAAACATCTTCCATTGGAGAACTGGATTTTCTAGAGGCATTTCACATTCATAAAAATCTTTCTGTTCTAGTTAACGATCCTAATTCCAATCCAAATTTGCCTTCGGCCTTTAAAGAAATTATGTTTTAGTTCTGGTTTCACCAACAGATGGCGCCACTTGCTTATTCTTGTCCAGGCTTTCTTATCTTATCTAATCATTATTTCCTATCTGGTTCATTTGCGGTTTTGCAGCTGAAGATGGTGGTTCGGGAAAACCATCGAAACTAGTCCTGTGAAAATTTTGTAAATATAACGCTGATTTTTGTTGTTTGACTTCTGAATTGGTATAAAGTGATATGTTTATTTTAGCATCCATCTCACAAGCGTTCCTCCTGTACCCTGAGGAGAAGCCCTATTTATAGTATGTGTGTGTCATGGTGCTTATCCAATCAGCGATATTAACAAAAATCAAGAAATGACACTATCTTATCATCACAAGTGTTCTTAAGGACTTTATGTAATATGACAGATTTATTGGTATTTTCCTTTTAGACCTTTATTTTAATTGCTAATTTCTCAAGGTACCACTTTATTGGTATTTCTTTTTGGACATTCTTCACTATAAGGGGAGGTTTCTGTAGAGAAGTGTTTCTAAAATGCATTGGTTTCTAAATCAATTTTTCTGAAAAATTTAATTTTTTAAATAATTTTAAAAAAAATTATTTAATACTAGACTTTACATTGCTTAATTCTCAAAATACTTCATTACTGGTATTTTCCTTTTAGACCTTTATTTTAATTGCTAATTTCTCAAGGTACCAATTTATTGGTATTTCTTTTTGGACATTCTTCACTATATATTTATTTTTGGTTTTAACTTTTACCCTTGCCTGCATGAATGACGAAACACAAATTGAATGACTGTAGAGTTAGGTTTGGAGGCAACTTCCAATTGATAAGTCTGTAACCCGCCTGCTCAACAGTCTTTCACTTATGCATTAAAAAAAAAAAAAAAAAAAAAAAAAAAAAAAAAAAAAAAAATTAGATTAAATTTAATTTGCTATATTTGTGAATTTATTTTCATGGTTTGGTTTTGCACTTGATTTACTTATGCTATCTGAATTTAAATGATATTGTAGATTAGTGCGAAAATTAAATCTTTTATATGTTTGCACATTTTTTAATTATTTTAACTTTAAAATTGCTTTTTACGTATATATATGTTTGTTAAAATTATATATATATATATATATCAGTACAAAGTCTGTAATCCTGATGTCCATTATCCGGAATGATCTAAAATCCGGACCTCAAAGCCACAAACTTTATGCATGCACGTAGAGAATGTGCATATATTACGCATGCGTGTAAAGAGTGTGCACACGAGCATTGAATGAAATGTTTAATAAAGTAAACAAACAAATATTAAGCCTTTTCTTTGTAAAATTTGATACCCTTTAGATCATAATTGCTCTTTATTTCATAAATTACGGTTTCATATTTTTAATTGTATAATTTCTGCATGCCATCTTACAGATTTAAATTGAAGGAAAAATCCCTAATCCGGAATCGAAGTCCCAACGAGTCCGAATTACGGACTTTGTACTGTATATATACACACCCACTCTATTACTTGGCTCAGGAAGCTTAGATTTTTATGCTTATATGTTGATGAATTATGCATTTTTTGCTTTAAAAATAATTTAATTATGCTGTTCTTGTCTTCTGGTTAAGGTTTCTATGCCTTTAGTTAATCTGCATGCAATAATTGTAGAACTATCAAGAATTGAAAAGTTTTTGAAGTGCAGCTAAGCCCTTTTTCTTTCTTTCTTTCTTTCTTTTTTTTTTTTTTTTTTTTTACCATAGTAGCCATATTTATTTACATTTGAAACTTAGCAGATTAGTGAATTAAGTTTTTCTGCACCTTCAGTGTCTTTTTGCCAAGAGGGACAAAAGGAAACTTTTAGTTTTATGCACCAAAAAACCTAAAAACCTGTTTTCTTGCCTGCTGGCTGAATTGATTGTTTTTGCATAGAAACTGTAATTTTAACTGTAAAAATTTTTAAAAAATTGTTTTAACAGTATTTGGTGTTTTATGTTTCTCTAGATCTTTCAATTTTCAATGAAAATATTTTGAGTTTTTATGTATTTTTGCCTTGCCGTAAAGTGAAAACTTAATTAATTGAATGAGAAACATATCTCTAATGAAATTCGAGAAAATAAGTTTAAATAAAATTAGCATAATTTAATATTCTGTACAAGGAAGTCGTGGCTTACACATCAGATTTTTTAAAGTACAATACATAATTTTTACTATTACATATTTGAATATCATAATTAAAATGTAAATATTATTTAAGCTGTAATTAAAATAACATTTAAATTTACAGATCTAATTTCTTGAACTATGAAATTTAAATATTTGTTTATAACTAGAAATCATAGCTTATGATAATACTTACTATACTTCATATAAGGAAATATAAAACAAATGTAATATATTTCTGACACATGAAATAATTTGACGTTTTGCACATAATTAAAATGCACTGAAGATAAATTCACACTCAGAAACAAAACTCTGTAACAGAAATGCTTTTTGTGATAATTTATTTCAGAGAATTTTGTATCAGCTATAAAACATGATGTTCTTTAAAAATTTTCCTTCCTTTTTTCTTTAAATTTACAATATGTCAAAGAATGGTCAGAAACAAATATCACAATAAATAACAATTTTAAATGGTGTTTTTTGACTTCATCGCAAGTAAACTGGGCAGATATTGAAAACTGTTCTTGAGTATTTATCCAAAAAAAAATGCCTGACATTAAAATCGATGACAATCATCTGTTTGAAGAAATTAGAAGATTGAATGTATATTTAAACACTGATAAATTACAACAGTGGGAAGATCAACATATTAAAATTGATAAAAAATGGGTAGAAATTTTTAACCATTTTAAAAATGAACACATTCCATATGAAAATTTAGTTATTCTTGTTGAATTTACGTTGTGTTGCCCTGGAACTAATCCAGCAGTTGAAAGAGTTTTTCCAATTGGTAATGATTTTTGGACAAGTGAGAAATCAAGATTGAATGTTGATACTTTAGCTGCAGCACTTACTGTAAAATTCAATACTAAGAAAATTTCTTGCTCCGATATTTCCAGTATTTTGTTAGAAAATAATGTATTGACAAAAAATATTCATTCAATGGAAAAATATTCCTTTAATTAAATAATTAAAAGGGATGTAAACATAACTGTTGCATTTTTGTTTAAATTAATAAAATGTTTCATTTATTTGCAATTTACTTTTTTCTTAAACTTTTTGTCCTCCTTTTCATTGTAAAAAACTTGGTCACCTTAATAAAACACATTCTTAAATTATTTTTCAAAATCACTTTGAATAATTATATATTAATTTTACAAGAAAAATTATATACTTAACACTAGAAGATGTCCATTTACAAACATGGTTTCCACCACCTTTCTGTCAGAAGCTTCTAGCCCAGCATGGTGAAAACCAACTCCACTCAAAATGCATTCTGAAAAAAATTCAAAAGAAAAATTATTACTTGGAATTTAACTGAATGAACTGAACAAACTTTTAAGGCTTGACTTTGCCCTAATGCTAATACTTCTACTAAGAACTAAATCTATTCAGGAAAAATAAAGTTGAAAAATCTACAATATCTTGAATTTTATCCCAGTTATCTCAAACTGCTATCAGCAATCTGAGATAACACTTTAATTTCAATATCAATCAATATAAAATGTTTTCTTTTATACTTATTCTTTCTTTTTATATTATATGCTTGACGTTCAGAGTGAAAATATTCAGAGATCATGTAGAACTAAATGACATTTTATTTCCCAGTAAATTTTACATAATTTCATATCTAATAAAATGGGTTAGGTGTTATTAAATTCTTGGTATTTTATTTGCAAGAGGGAAAATATTTAAGAGGAAGCTTATAATTTAATTACTGAAGGAAACATCATTAGAGACATTAGTTTGCTTTAGCATTAATATTTAAACTACTGAAAATTTTATGTATCTAAAATATTCCTGTTATGGCTTATCCCACTTGTCTGATAGTAATGTCATAACATAATTTTGTCATGGTGAGAAGTGCAAGATTGTGTCTTAGCTACATTAAACAAGTAAAATATGACAAAACAAGGAATGAGAAAGTGGAAACAGGCATGATAGTAAGTGATCTTAATATTATTAAAAATTGCATCATGATCATTAATAAATACAAAACATTTCTTAGAATCTAAAATTTACAAAAGAAAGCAGATCTCAAAAGAAAATTTTAACTTAATATAGTAAATAAATGTAATATAGAAAAAAAAATATATAACATAGTGAAACTTTGGCTCACAAACTTAATTTGTTCCTGAAGATAGTTGACAGAAAATGTTCATAAACAAAAACAATTTTTTCCTTAGGAAATAATGCAAAATGGATTAATTTGTTCATGTACTCCAAATGACTGCTTAAAAAATACTTTGTACATTAACTTTGCAATGCAAAACCAAAGGAATAAATTAAATCAAATATTAACACAAGAATAAACAGGAGGGAGGAAGAAACTTATTGTACTAACCTATTAGAAATAGTCTGAAGTGTAAACCACATGACTTTCTTTTATTTCTTTATTAAATTATACACACTTTTTTATGCATTTCATTTAAACTTATTTCCTCAATAGAAAAATATTTCTCATTCAATTAATTCTGGTCTCAGTTCATGGCAAGGAAAAAATACACAAAACCTCAAAATACCTTCATTAAAAATTGAAAAATATAGGAAAAAATAAAACACCAAATAGAGTTAAAACAATTAAAAAGGAACTATTTTTACAATAATTTACCTCTGCATCATCGTGAATATATAAAACACCAAATATAGGAAAAAATAAAACACCAAATAGAGTTAAAACAATTAAAAAGGAACTATTTTTACAATAATTTACCTCTGCATCATTGTGTGTATCCTCCAAAATAAACTTCATACTGCTTGATAGACCAGTATTAGATGCTATTTCTGAAGGTTGGGAAGCAGAGCCAAATTTGCTGTTCATTGAACACTACACTGGCACTTGTTATCGTATCATTCCTCGATGGCATGAAAATATGATATCCATCGTCATCACAATAACCAACCAAATAGCCCTTTATAGCTTTGTCATCTAATTTACCTCTGTTGACATTTGGTACATGTACACATGCAGCTGATTCAAAAACTCAAATTCTGTTAATTGCCGGTTTGCGTCCAAACCATTCCTCAAACAGAGATTTTTCTGTGGTCTTACTTGGTCTAGTTTGATTGAGAACATAGACAGCTGTAGATGTTGCTTCTGCCCATAGGAACTGTGGTAGGCCTGAATCCTTGATCATACTCCAAACTGCTTTCATTATCATACGATTTTTCTCTTTCAACCAATCCATTTTATTCTGGTGTATATGGCATAGTGATTCGCAGCTTGATGTCTGCATCATCAGTCAGTTTCACCAATTTATCAATGTCAAAAAACTCATGACCATCATCTGTGACCAGTTCTCTTACATTTATACCATCTTGGTAGGAACAAGAAACTGCTTGATTTTATCCACAGCTTCGTCTTTATGTCTCAGAAATTCTACATGCCGAAACTTAGAGTAATCGTCCTTAATCACTAACATGTACTTTTTTCCACCTCTTGATAAGACTGGCCATTTGAGTAAGTCCGCATGTATTATTTCCCCAGACTTTTTTGTTTTGAATCATTTTTTGTTTTGAATCATATCACCAAAGTGATACTGGCAATGTCGTTGTCTTCATTGGCATTTCAGGAAAAGGAGCTGTCATTTCATTCTCTACCAAGTAGGCTGCAGCAGCAACACCCCTTGTGGCTTGACTGGTTTTTCACGTAGTTCCAAGAGTCCACTTGATGAACATGGGGCCTCTAAAAGTATATTATCTGGGGTTTCCCTGGGAAAGAAACGAGAAATCATATTGTCTGAATCACCGAAGTTCAAGGTTCCTCACTTCATTGCTTTAGAAACTGATAAAAAATGTTTGCCAATTTCTGGTGCATACAGTTCATTAGTTAGCTCAATAGATTTTTGCATGTTTCCAACCATCATACACATGCCAATGTCTTCATAGCCATATACTGATATTGCACGTTTGTTACCAACTGTGATTTCTGCTTGTTTGTTAAAGTGACGGTACATCTTGAAATAATCGGCTGGATTTGTAATTTGTGCTATAGCCCCATCGCCTTTAAGCCACACAATTCAGCCACAATCATCTTCTTGACAAGCAAATGCCCTGCAATGAGTATTTACAAAGAAGATTTCTGTTTTGCCATTCGTTGTGGTTCGCATGTCAGGGAAAACTGAGCAAAATCCACCAATGTGCCTGGGTTTATTACAACAAAAACAGATGTCATTGAAACTTTTCACACCATCACTGGTCTTACTAAGCCTGTTTATCGTTTTGGCAATTTTTGTTGTCAAGGGTTGGGGTTGGCTGATCATCTGAGATTTTTTACACTTCTTCCATTTCTTTCTACTATGTTTCGCGCCATAAAGCATTTACCACGAATGTTATTGTATTTTTGTTTCTAAGCTCTTGATTTCGTTTTGCAGCCGCATGTTGATCTGTTCGATTAGTTTTTCAGGTGACTTTTCCATCTTTGGCATTGAGTCACACTGTGATTTGTACTCGAGATATTCGTCATCAGGAAAAATAGATAAGGTTCGTAGTGTTAGCAAGTTCTGCGGCAACTTTCCTTTGCTGTTCAACTCTTGCTCACATTGAAGATCCACCCATGATGTACGCAAACGTGCGAGTGATTGCATTACACTTTCGTCTTTCTCAATCCGAAAAGTGAAAAACTGCTGCAGAAGAGTGCCCAATTTCACGCTTGACGCTTGACAAAATTTGCAGAATTACAATGCATATGGATCAAATTTAACATATTCGGTGATACATTTGTGAGAATGATCACAGCAGCTTTCGCATTCAATTTTGCATACGCTTTTGCAGCTTCGTTGTGCTTGCGTATCGACTTTTCATTTGCGCCTTCTGCCGGTGCTTTTGGCTCGACAAGGGAATTATCGAAGATGCCCACACAAACAAACAGTTTATTTCAAATTTCCAATCAGTCCAGATGGATAAACCTTCCAATCTGGTACACTGAACAAAATTTTTAGCTTCCATATTGTGTCGTCATTAACCAGGAAGAAGGCAGGGGAAAAAAAAAAAAAAAAGAGGTATTGGTACACTGTAGAGGTGGAAGTGTTGAAATCATTACTTTATTTTACGCAGATGAACATCGCTAAAGCCCATAACCTGTTATAAAATTAATGAAACAGAGTGATTTCTAATGAGTGAAACTAAATGAATTTCGGACCTTCATAGGCAAAAAAGCAAAGAAACTTTATGCATGTCTTATTGTTTATATAAAAACTTTAGAATGACTGAAATAACAGTGATGCCAGATGCATAAAACATAATAATACAACAAAACAATAATGCCACTAAAATTGCACATAACAATGCTCGATTCTCAACAGTATTATAGGGTGTAGACAACCTCAGATTTCTTTAATATACTATTAATGAATTTTAATGCAGTTAAGAATGCTTTATCCCTATATATTAAACTCTTGTATTAATAGTAAATCTGCCTTTTATGCTACAGTTTACGAACAATTTAGTCTTTTTAGTAAAGAAACGCAAAGAGGCACCAAAGAAAATAGCAAAAAAGTTAAAACTTCTCATAATACTATTATTATACAGTCAAAATTTCAAGATTTATTTGAAGAAGAAGATTTCAAGAAAAATATTCTTAACTACTCTCATTCCCTACTTCACAGACACCTTATTATCATTCAAAATTTTGTCAAAGATAAATAATCTCATTAAAGATTTAGTACTTGATTTCATAAAATTCAAATTCAACTGTGCTTCTTAGAAAATAAAAAAAAATTCTGTACCATTAACTTTCTACACAAAATTTATGATGATCTTCAACTTCATGAGATTTTTAAACAAGCACAAAAAATTTCATGCAATAAATTAAAAAATTTCAGTTTGCTTCAAGTACAACAATAAAATAAGTAGTTTTATTTCTAACCATAATGAAGATTTTGCAGCACCATGATTAGGTGAAAAAAAATTTCTTCCATTTGTTGACGAAGAGCACAAGCATATTATAACAGGAAATCTGGACATTATTCAAGATCAAACGATTAGAGTGCTTATGAAAAAAGGAATGAAGTTTATACCTATTAAATTCATTAATAAATTACATTGCATAGAAAATATTTTTACAGATATTCATAATTTCACCTTGAAAGTAAGTTCAACTTAGTTTGCCTTCACATCTATACTGGTGAAATAAGTTAAGAGAATTTTCATATTTGATCTACGATCTCCAGAACTACTGGACAGATTTTTATAAAATTTGGTGTAAACATAGGTTGATATAATATAAACCAAATAAACATTCAACTTGTTTCTGAGACTCCTTTGCCGATACTTTAT